AAGGAGAAGGAGAAGGAGAAGGAGAAGGAGAAGGAGAAGGAGAAGGAGAAGAAGAAGAGGAGTAGGAGGAAGAAGAAGAAGGGGGGAGTAGAGTAGTAGAATAAAATAGAATATGGAATAGAATAGGAATAGAATAGAAGAGTAGAATAGAATAGAATAGAATATGCCAATTAATGGAATGGAATAAGAGTAGAGTAGAGTAGAGTAGAGTAGAGTAGAGTAGAGTAGAGTAGAGTAGGACAATGAATAGAAGAGAAGAGAAGACGAAGAAGAAATCGAGAAGAAGAAGAAGAATATAGAGTAGTAAGTAGGACAATGAATAGAAGAGATGAAGAAGAAGGAGGAGGAGGAGGAGGAGGAGGAGGAGGGGAAGAGAGTAGAGTAGTAGAATAGAATAGAATATGGAATAGAATAGAATAGAAGAGTAGAGTAGAGTACAATAGAATAGAATAGAATAGAATAGAATAGAATAGAATAGAATAGAATAGAAAATGGAATGGAATAGAATAGAATAGAATTCTTTATTGGCCAAGTATAATTGGACACACAAAGAATTTGTCTTCCGTGCATAAGCTCTCAGTGTACCTAAAAACATTCATCAAGAATCAGAAGATACAGCACTTGGTGACAGTCAGAGGATACTAAAGAAGCAATCAAAACCATACCAGGTAACTAAATAAAACAATATAAATCGTAAAGATGCCAGCAACAAAGTTATAGCCGTAAGCAGGAAAAGGAGATAGGAAGGATGAGGAGAATTTAGATTGATTAACATTTGTATGCCCCCCACTCCCTGGGGACTCTGGGCGGCTTACAGACAAGACCAAAAGAAACATATATTAAAAAAATTTAAGATAAGGATACAAGTATTAAAATTTCACACCATGCATACTGTTAAGAGTGGGGCTGGATACTAATTAAATAAAAGTAATGCAGCCTTAGTCATAATTTGACAATGTTGTGGGAATTAGTTGTTTAGCAGAGTGATGGCATGTAGGGAAAAAAGTAAAATAAAATAAAATAAGAGTGTCACTCCGGAAGGAATCCTCAGATCGTGTCCGGCTATCTCCACATTAGCCACAACCAATTCCCTCCACGCCAGCTCACTGCAGCCAAGTCGCCGCGGAACAATTCAACCCTCCAATTTAATTATTTAAAAAAATGTAAAAAGTTGTTTTAATTGTCGCCGTGCATGTTTCATTTTGTCCTTCCTCCGGCATCGTTTCTTTTCCTGATTCTCTTCTATCATTTCTTCCATGTTATAGGAGCGCGTGTGCTGCAGAGAGCTGGCCACAGAAAGTTGGCTGTGACGAGTTAACAGCTCTTAACTAAAAGCATTTCTCCCTCCTTTCCATCTCTCTCCTCTCTCTTTCTGACTCGGAGGGGAAAAAAACGGAGCGCAAAGATCGGGATCGATTCAGATCCGTAGGGATCCTTTATGCCCCCTTGACTTATCCCTGAGAACTCTCCGGCTTTCCGACCCCAAAGCACATCAAAATCCCTCTCTCTGCTTACACGAAAACTTGGGGAAAGGTTCCCTGTGGTGAAGATTAAGCCATATTGAGAAGGAGGCAAAAAAGTCAAGATGGCAACCCCTAATGCCACACCCTCCCAGCTTTGGGTGTCCGGCAGCCCGGATCAAATGCCAAATGAAACTGCGTCTTAAAAGTCGCCTCCTTAAAAAACAAAAAAAGCAGCTTTTGGGACAACCGTGACCTCGATGATGGAGAATCTCTACAGGCTTCACATCTTAAGATGCTTTCTAGGCTCTCTGGAGTTGCCCTCAGTGGACCAAGGGAGGACTTGATGATCTCCTAACTCAAGCAAGGGGTGCCACTCGGAGGCACTTGGGAATAACTTTGGAATCTTGGCAGGATCGCGCAGGGAGAAAAAGAGACAGCAAAGGATTCTCAGGTCAACAGGTGAGCATTTAATGAGCGCATCTGGACAGTCCAATAGGAGCCATGCCTCCCCCCTTCTCTTTTCTCCCTTTGGGCGGGCACAAATGGCATTTCCTCGGTCTGGCTCATTTGCTCAGGACAGCGACCATGCCGGGCGCCACTCTCTGGAGAGGCCATCTGCCTGGGTTCAGGGGCAAAAAGGGACCAAGATTGGCACAGAGGTTCCCTGGGAAAGGTTGACTTGGCTTGACCGGCCCTGCAGAACCAAGTGGTGCCACTCTGGACCACCCTGGCACCTCCTGCCCGTGCCCGGTGGCTTTCAGGCTACCATCTCTGTTGCCCAACAAGGTTGCTGGGACCTTTGCGGGTGGTAAGGACGGTGCCCTGAAATCTTTCTTCTGGGCAGAGGGATGGGCAGAAGATTCTTGAGGTTTCCCGGGCACCGCCTCCTCTCGCATCCTCAACTCACCTGTATTGGAAGGTCATGTTGGTGATTTTAATCTTGATCTCTTCCCCGTGCCGGATTTCCCCCGTCATTTCGAAGAGTTTGTTGGCCATTTTCTCGTAAACTTTGGCGTTCCTCTTGGTCTGCTTCAGCTCCTCGAAGAATTCCTCCCAGACCAGCATCAGGCCTCGCATCTCGGCTTCGGTCCAGTTGCGCGCCCGCCGGTGCTTCTCGCTCTGGACGGACAGGAGGCAGCCGGGGGCCGGCGCCGAAGCCATGGCAGCTGCCGGCCGCCGAGGCTCTTCGCACCGGCCAGCACAAGCAGCGGCTGGCTGGCAGAGCAAGATGGGGCCTACATCTGACAGGCTGGAATTTAGCTAAAAGCTTTTAAACAGAAGGACGTCATTTGGATGTCATGTTTCCATAGCAACGGAGCCACTGCATAAGCTACAACAACAAAAACCTTTTAACTGAAAGGCGAAGAATCGGGACAAAGTTGACAGGCCATCAATATTAAAGCTTTTAACCACATTAGGCTTAACTAAGCCGCACGCTCACCCTCCCGTGCACACAAACACACTCACACAGGCACGCACACACACTCACACGCGCGCACACACACACACACACAGAGGCAGGCCCCCTGCATCTACAGCTCCCCCCCCCCAATCAGAGCAGCATCACAGCTGGGGAGGGGGGAGCAGCTGGAAAAGCCCTTCAAAAATTCCTTGCAAGCTTTATGGGAGAGCCTGCAGCTGCCCGTGTGGGTCAGGGGTCTCTCTGGGGGAAAGACCCGTGCAGCCTCGGCTCTGGCAAAGCAAGGAGGGCAGCTTCAGAGCCAAGGGTCCATTGTTGTAGGGCAAGAGTCCGCCATGCCAGAGAGGGGGGCTGGCTATATCTATATATCTCTTATCATCTATCATCTATCAACTGTACCTCTGCCTGCCTGCCTGAGTGACAGGATGATCGGATAATTGGAATTATGGTTGAATGGCTGGCTGGCTGCCTCCCTCCCTGGAGGATTGAATGGATGGCTGGCTGGCTGGCTGGCTGGCTTCCTACATGCCTACCTTCCTGCCTGCCTGGATGATTGGATAACTTAATGGATGATTGGATGGATGGGTGCGTGGCTTCCTGCCTGCCTGCCTGGATCNAAAAATCTTTGTATATCTTACTATCAATGTACCACAATTCTCATTTGACTACAATTATTTGAACATGCTTTTACCTCAAATCATTCATACTTAGAGAGAGAGGGGGGAGGGGGGAGATTGATTCTTGACAAGGCAATGCTTGGTGTATCCTGATGCTAACATACCATTTCAGGTTGAGCCTGAAATACTGTGAATAACCAGTGCAGTGATTTTAAAAATGTTGTGTAATCATGGCCATTTAGCTGATGCATTATGAACCAGTTGCAGCTTCTGGGTCACCTCAAAAGCTTCCCACATAGAGTGTGTTAAGAGTAATCTAACGGTGTGATTAAGATACAAGTTACCATCACCAAAGTATACTAGTTCATTGTACAGTTGCCCTAGTTACATGGGTGTCAAACTCAGGGGCCAGGGGCCAGATCTGGCCCACGGGGTGCTTAGATCTGACCCCAGGGCCAGCCTGGAAACAGCGAAGGACCGGCTCACAGTGCCTCTGCCAGCGAATAGCATCCTGCAACCTTCTCCCAGCAAAAATGGAGCTCGTGCAGCCCTCCCAAGCTCTGTTTCCGCTGACGGGGTTGCAGGAGGCCGTCTCAGCCTCCCGAGCTCCATTTTCGCTGGCAGAGTACTCGGGCCACCAGGAGGTACCCCTGACATGAGTGATGAAGGTCAAACACAACCCTAATGCGGCCCACAATGAAATCAAATTTGATACCCCTGCCCTAGTATCATGGTCCATAAAAGGCCAGGTTTCTTTCTCTGAATAGGTTATATGCATGTGTATTTTGCAGAAGAAATGTGTAAACGTCTGAAGTAGTACTTCCATAGCGGCCCTTCTCTTCATTTCCTTTTTCTTTCTCAAAGAAGCAAGAGTACAGAGAGAAGGTGTATCATTTTCACATTTTATGATCACTTTAGAAGATGGAATAATGTGACATGTATTAAGATCCTTGTTAAATTTCTTTCTATGTTAAAATAATAAGCAGTCCTTTCCGTTTTATCTATTGGAGCCTGTGGCACATTTATTTGTGAGGGAAATTGAGCAGAATTAGGATTCCTAACCTCCATTTTTTGCAGGCGTAGACATTTTTCTCTTTCTTCACAATCTTTTGAGATTAGTTTACAACACAGTCTGTAAGTAAATTACATCTCCCTTGCAGTCAGTTCTGGTGACCAACTTGAGACGAGGTTTTACTCACACTGCATCCTGTCATCTGTAGTTATTCAAATAACCAGACTAAAGCTACAGGGTACACGTCAAGCAGATTATAAGATACGAACGAAGTTCAAATTAAAAGCAAGTGTTTAAGTAGATTAGAGACACCCGTTCCAATATTAGGCACTTGATCGTAAAATTTGTGGCGCAGAAAGGACCTTTTTGGGGAGGGGGGGAGATTTATCTGTGCCTGGCTAGCTTTTCTGGCTTGCTTTTATTATACTATTTCCTGGCCAAGTTTCTCAATGGTAACAAGGAACAAATATGAAAAAGACTTCACCCTGAGGCATTTATGAGCAGGCAAGGCTCAAGAAAGATTTGTCATTGCTGGGCTGGTTTATGTGTGTTTTTTTTAAAAAAAAACTTGTAAGAAGAGCCAAAATTCATGTGTATTGAAAACATAATTATAACTGTGGGGTACAGATGGTAGGCCTTCATTTTGATACCAATTTATGGCCTACACTAGCCTCATTGCCTTAAGTTGCTGACCTGGTGTCGTATATTGCTTTGTGAACATATTTTAGGTATGAATCTTGGTGTGATAAAAATGTATCACAATTTTCTATCCAGCTAGTTCAACTCGGTGTTTGCCCAGACAGAGTCCCTTCCAACTTTGTTATTCTATTATTCTGTGTACTTAATATGAGCATAAAGGCTACAGAATAAAACCTTCCCTTTGAAAGACAGCCATTTGGTCTCATGCCGGGGAATTGTTTCAGACCATAGTAAGCAATTAATTGGAGGTGTATTTTGGTGCTTGCACTATTTTTCCTCTGCTAAAGCTGTGCTTAAGCTTCTAAGCAGATAAGGGTCCAGGTAGTCCTCGACTTACAACCAACATTTCTGTTGTTAAGTGAGACATTTGTTAAGTGAGTTTTGCCCCATTTTACGATCTTTCTTGTCTCAGTTGTTAAGTGAACCGCTGCAGTGGATAAGTCAGTAACCCGGTTGTTAAGTGAATCTGGCTTCTCCATTGGCTTTGCCTGTCAGAAGGTCGCAAAAGGTGATCGCATGACCCCGGGGATACTGCAATTGCCATAAATGTGAACCAGTTGCCAAGGGTCTGAATTTTGATCACGTGTTCATAGGGATAATGCAAACTGTGCATTATCTGTGAAACTGGGGGAAATGGCCATAGTTCACTTTTTTCAGTGCCATTGTAACTTTGAACAGTCACTAAATGAAGTGTTGTAAGTCAAGGACTACTTTCACACTTAATGACTGTTGTTGCATCCCCATGGTCACATGATCAAAGTTCAGACACTTGGCAACTGACTCATATATATATATGACACTTGCAGTTTCCCAGGGCCATGCAATCACTTTTTGTGACCTTCTGACAAGCAGTCAATGGGGAAGCCAGATTCACTTAACAAAAGGATTACGAACTTAACAACCACAGCGATTCATTTAACAACTGTGGCAAGAAAGGTAATAAAATGAGGCAACATTCATTTAACAACTGTCCTGCTTACCAACAGAAATTTTGGAATCAATTATGATTGTAAGTCGAGGACTAGTGTTGTCTCCCCTGATCTTGACTAATTAATAGAAAAAATAGAGTCTGCCTCAACCAGGAGGAAGGAATGTCTACAAAAAGGGATATATCCTTTTTGTTCGAAGTCTGATTCCTGTCTTCTGAGACATCTGCTTTTCCTTGTGAGTTTGGCACCCACCTTCCATCTCTAATGTGGAATAATCATACACCTGTTAATGAGGGCTGTATAGAAATGGCTTCTCCGCAAGGCGATGTTTATGTTCTGAGTAAGGGGTGATGGTAATTTTTCAATGACAAATTTCTTGGGGGTAAAGGAGATGGAACATTTCTGTTGGTAAGCAGGACAGTTGCTATTCAGAATAACAGGCAGATGCAATGCTGGGTTTTATTTATGTATTTATGCAGGTCATTTATATGGTGTACATCTTCAACAAGTAATTCTGGGTGACTGACATATGGTGCAAATCCTCCCCACCAAGTTTATAAAATTAATATAAAAGAAAATAAAATGAAATTAAAAATGATCACAGTAAGTAATCAAGGTCCATCACAGGAACATACCATAATTTATCAGGTCCCAATCCTAATCTCTGAGGGCAAAGCCAGGTCATCATGGTTTCATGATTGTCATACTTACAAACAGTCAGTATGGTTGGGGCCCTCTGGATATAAGTATTGTGGCCTACCAGCAGAACTGGCAGCAGATTCGGACAGTGAGGAGGTTGGGGAGGATTGTGGGCCAGTCCTGGAGTCTGGGGAAGGCTCTGATGAGGGCTGTGCATCAGAGGCAGAGAGGAGACCAGAGCTGTATGCCACTTATCAACTGCCTTCAGAGTCTGACAACAGTGAGGCAGACGAACAGCTGGAGCCTGTTCCCAGTATGCGCATGCACAGAGTTGCCAGACAAAGGGAACAGCTAAAGAACAGGGGTTGACTTGGGAATAAGGCCATGGGTGGACGATGAATGGCCCCTCCCAGAGGAAATAAAAGAGGAGCAAAAGGGGAGTGGAGTTTGCAGGGGAAAATTAGTTGGCTTCAGTGGTCTCTCCAAGACTCCTTGCCAAGTTTTGCAGATATTGGCCTGGCAGCTCTCTATACCATATAAATCCTCCCTTGACAGACTTTGCTGTATGTAAATGAGCAAAATTCCCAGTCAATTAATTAAAGGGTTTTTTGTCAGGACAAGGAATTTGCTTCATGCTTTTGGGAAGCCTAGGTCAGAACAATAAGGGAGAAGGCTGTTCTAAAGGACAGGTGCCCTGAGAAGGCATATCTCTGGGGTTCCACTAGATCAGAGGTCCCCAACCCCCAGACTGCAGACCGGTACATCTGCAGCCCATTGAGACCAGGCTGCACAAGGAGTGAGCGAGACACGAATTTGCACATGCACAGCAGCTAGGTTGTGTGTGTGAAACCATCCCCTTCCCTGCCACTGCCATCAGTCTATGGAGCTAGAAAGGTTGGGGACCGCTGCATTAGGTATCATTGTTTTGCAGAAAGAATGCACTATTGTAAGTGATTCAGCTCATCTGATGCCCTCTTTTTATTGGTTCTTCAAAATTCCGGTCAATTGCTTGAAATTAAATTCTGTAGCTTTCT